GCCATCCGCTATCCGCTAACCGCCACCCGCTACCCGCTAACCGCCACCCGCTACCCGCTACAGCTATCCGCTATCCGCTACAGCTATCCGCTATCCGCTATCCACTACCTGCTACTCGCTATCCGCTGAATTTTAACTGCTGTACCAAACAAACCCTAACTCTTATTTGTATAAATGCTTAATTCTTCTTTTTTTTTTTATCAGCAAAATGAAATTTATTGAATGGAGTACAAGGGGTACTCCAACCCACTTACAAAAAAATAAAAGATAAAGTCAACCAACACAGTTCCACCAAACAAATAACAAACACACCCTATAACACAAGACCAGAAAAGCACCCAAAAAAAATGACATATTGGACTAGTAGAAATCCCTTGCCTTAATGCTCATAAAAAACCCCATCAAGCTTCACGTTTCCATCTCCAGCAAGGTTTTCACTAGCATAGACGCAGCACCCTGAACTTGAGCCCTATCCTCATAAGTCCCCCTAGTTTAGCACTTTATACATCCTCTTGTAATTCCTTAGATTCCTGCCATGTTGAACAATGGCCTTCTTGCACTCCAACGGTCTTAACATCCAATATGTAAAGGAAAAACTGCAACCTTGTTCCTTGTTTTTCAGCCAGAAAAAAGATTTAAACTGAATAGAATCCAATATCTGCTCTTCGAACCTTTCACCTGCCCCAAACACTTTCAAATTTCTCCAAAACCAAACATACCAAGCAGTAACCAAAAAAATAAGAGGCCCTAAATCCGTCCAACTCCCCCCATTGATTCCAGCCACCACAGCATCTGCCAATCCAAAGACATTTTTTGGCAAAGCACTCTGTACACCCCACCAACCCAAAACCTTCATCCACACCAACCAAACTGGTTTACAATCACAAAAGATATGCTGGAGTTGCTCGACGCCCTCATGGCAAAGCCCACAACAAACATTCCCCCCTGGTAGAGCAACCCCTCTCCGACACAAGTTATCCTTTGTAGCTAACCTGTTCAAAAACAATCTCCACCCGAAAACACTCAATTTGGAAGGTACATAATTACCCCAAAGGACCCTAGACCATTTCTCATCCAAAACACAACATTTCGATGATAAAAAATCATAAGCCTTCTTTGCCGAATATACACCATCACCACTATGGATCCATCTCCAATAATCAACTTCTCCCTTATGCAACCTAACCCTATTAATCAACTCCCGAAACTGTTCTTCCTCCCCCACTCCCCGCCCTACACACCCTCGCCTTCACCTACAATCCCATATCCAATTTTCAGCACTCCAATACCCCATATCCTTTAACTGTCCCTCCCTTCTAATAGCTAATGCATACAACCGAGGGAATAAATTCCTCAAAGGTTTATCCCCCGCCCATTTACCATGCCAAAAATCTACACAACTCCCATTCCCAACTTTCCACTTAAAACCTTCACCTAACATTGCCACCAACCTTTCTGACCCTTTGCCTAGACCCATAATGTCCTTCCACACACCAGACATATTCCAATTCACCATTGACGTAACATCCGCCTCCTTTCTACCCCCATAATATTTATCCCAAACAACCCGCTTCCATAAACCATCAACACCATCACCTAACCTATACCACCATTTTCCCAACAAACTACAATTCCTCCTCTCCAAATCCGCCACTCCTAAGCCTCATCTCCCCTTATCCACACACATGTACCCCCAACTAACCCATGAAATTTTCCTACCAAATTAACACCCCCAAAAAAAAAACTTCTTTGAATTTTAATAATCTCACGAAGTACACATTTAGGAATCCTAAACAACGATAAATAAAATATAGGAAGAGCAGAGAGTACCGAATTGATTAAAGTTATCCGACCTCCGAAGGACAGTAAGGAGCTCTTCCAGGAGGCAAGCTTCTCGCAGAAGCGGTTTAGCACTGGATTCCAAAACTGTCTTCTCCCTGAATTCCCTCCTACTAGCAAGCCAAGATAAGTAAACGGCACTTTGCCCACCCCACAATGCATAACATCAGCTGCACCTTTTACCCACCCTTCCGACACATTGAAGCCATACAAATAGCTCTTCCCAAAATTTATCTTCAACCTTGAGATCAATTGAAACCAATTCAGAATGGCCTTCACAACCCGTAAATTATCAACATCTGCCTTCCCCATAAACACCGTATCATCCGTAAACTATAACAGCGATAACACCATACCTCCCCTTCCAATCACCACACCCTTCAGAAGTCCTTCACCCTCTACTTTTTTAACAAGCCCACTCAACCCTTCAGCAACTAACAGAAACAAAAAAGATGACAAAGGATCACCTTGGCGAAGACCATTGCTTATCGGAAACTCAGACGTCGGGCTTCCATTTATCAAAATGGAGATTCTAGCAGTTGAAAGACACTCCCACATCCAGTTCCTCCACTTCACCCCAAGCCCCATTCTATTCATCATCCAATCAAGAAAGCCCCAATCCACACAGTCGTAAGCTTTCTCAAAGTCCGCCTTTAAAATGAAACTCTCTTGCTTCCTCCATTTCACCTCATGCACAACCTCATTCAAAACTAACACACTGTCAACCAATTGCCGACCTCCAATAAAAGCTGCCTGCGACTCACTGATAATACCATCCATAACCATTTTCAACCGATTGGCCAACACCTTGGCCAATAATTTATATAGGCAACCTATCAGGCAAATAGGCCTATACTCCTTAAATTGCTCAGGGTTCAATTTTTTAGGTATTAATGCTAGAAATGAAGAATTTAAACCGTTAACTAACCTTCCATTGCGATGAAAGTCCATCAAAAAATTCACAAAGTCATCCTTCACAGTACTCCAAGCAAACTTTATAAAATTAAAATTAAAATGTAACCCTTATGGTTACACAGTTAACAAGTTACAGTATATCAGTGCAGGCAAAATGTAGTTAAATGGAGTATCACATATTTGACAAATAGAGTCATCTACAATATTAGGCAATGATATATGTTGGTCAATTGATACATTATTCCTTGGCTTTTTCAACTT